AGCTTTCATTAGAACAAATGCCATTATTATCTGTCATCTTATGGACAATCAGAAATTCCATGTCTGGGAACTCCTAATTAATGTGGCAGAAAACTGTTTTTCAGAACTCTAAGACCTCGCTCAGTCCTCGTATAGACTGGCACTCATAATGACTCGAGTTTTTAATCTCTCGCTCCTAGACTAGCCTTCAAAGAAATATTTGAAACAGAACTGTATCATGTGGATAGCCAGAATCAAATGTTTGAATATTCTTGCATTTTAAATCTAAACCCCACAGCTGGACATTATTATGGCACGAAGTTTCAGAATCATTTCGTTTAAATGCAGATGTGTAGAAGTAAGGTGCTGTGTCTAAGCTACATGTATTACCAAGGGAGAGAAATATGCACTTGGAGATCACCCATCCTATGGTGAGGCCTGAACTCTGTGAGGTGAACCTGCCTCTAGAGGCATCTAACTTCCATCCCTACCAATAGCAAGAGCCCAGGTGACAAGCTTGGATTAGAACATACAGACACATTTATATTTCTATATTTCTATTGATGTGTTTAAAATATATATTTATATCGATGTATTTAAATGTATATATCTATTTTCATGGGACTTTTGACAATATCTGAAAACAAAGAAAGGGGATCTGCATTAAATTTAATTTAATTCCTTGTTTCAGAAAAGGCACCCGACCGAGCTCTGCTTTTCTCTCATTTCACCATGTTGAAGAGCAGAACTCTGTTCTTCCCAGGCTGACACCTGCTGTGACATCAGAGCGACAGCCGTCAAGGCCTTAGCCCTCCCATCCAAAAAGAGCAGGGGATGATGCTCCCTTTCCTTCCAGGTGTGGAGACAGGAGGTGCTCTGCTGAGCCCTCTCTCTGTGTATCTTACACCATCCTCAGCGCAACAGGGAGGGACCGTAATTGTGAAGGACTGAATAAAATGGCAACCTTTAAAAAACCTCTCTTCATATTAGAAAGCAGAAAAAAATGTAAATGGCTTTAAAATGGCTCAGTAATACTTTCCTCCCTGATGCCTACATAAGGGTGTTATGGCATTTGTCAACATCTGACTAAATATTCCAGACCTTTCCTTGCAGTGAGCTGAACTGCCCTTAACTGCATTAGCTTTAAGTGGAAGGCACGAATACGTAACTGTTTAAAACTTGGTACAAAGCTCTGCACCCTTATATCTGTAGCCAAGGACTGGAATTTTTTTCCAGAGAGAAAAGGACTCTTACGCAACAAACAGCAGATAGACACCACTTGTTTCAAGCAAAATAATAACTATGTTCTGGATGGTAGACCAGGCACAGGCCTTTCTTCCTGGCAAGCCACCATAGGAAAAAACTGCAATCTGGCTGCCAATGCGACTGCACGTTTGGTCCTCACTAGTTGCAAAGGAGCAGATTTTGCAGGGCTGGCTGCAAGGTCCGTCCCCATCCTGAGCAAGGAAGTACTAGGAAGTGCAAGCAGCAGCAACACTGTTCCCCTCCTCTGCTTCTTCCAAATTCAGTAAGCTTTGTGCAGACTTTACCACAGATACTTTAAGAAACTTTGAACTCCAAAGACTTGGAAGGCTGTAATTTAGCCATACTCTGGAAAACACAAATATTGGATTGGGAAACAGGAAGAGCAAAGGCTCAACTTCAGGCACTTTCATGTGAATCTTGCGCCATTGGGGAATGAATGAGAGAAAAAAAATTATCATCTTCCTATCCTGTTTGTTGCATCTCATCCCACATAAATAAAAACTGTGGGGCTAAAGTCCAAGAGTAGAATCGTCCAGTGAAGGACATATGAAATAGATACAACTGTGAGGCAAAATAGCTGTATAATTACCAGACTGACTCCCAGAGAGCTCCCAGGTGCACAGAAGCTGCTCCTCCCTTGCTAAGATTCCCACCTTGCCCCCTGCATGACCAGCCAACTTCACAGGCCAGTGCCTCAAGGCACAGGACCACCACTGCACGTTCTCCTCCTGCCGAGGTGACACACGAGGGCAGCTGTAGGAAGAAGAAACTTCTTCCT